CTATCCATCTGTGTGCTTGTCTCACCCCCTCTCTCTGAGGGCAGGTCTCCATTTATCTTGTATTCCCCTCAGCACGTAGCACAGTGTCTTACACTTAGGAATGGCTCGATAAATTAAATTGATTTGGAGTCGGAGTACTTTACTAATCATGTGTACTGATACACTATTTTCCTAAATATTTTCTTTCTTTTTAAAGATTTTATTTATTTAAGAGAGAGAGAGAACTTGTGGAGGGGAGAGGCAGAGGTAGAGGGAGAAGCAGGCTCCCCGCTGAGCAGGGAGCCTAATGACGCAGGACTCGATCCCAGGATCCCGAGATCATGACCTGAGCCAAAGGGAGATGTTTAACTGACTGACCCCCCCCCAGACGCCCCTTCCCAAATATTTTCTATCCTATGTTCAGAAATTAAAATATCCATTCCAAATGGCATCAAGGGAGAAAACTTCTGCTCTTCAATTTTTAGAACAGTTTCTGTTTTTTTTTTTTATCAGGTTTTAGAAAGCGTAGAGGCATGTGGGGGGCTGGGGGTGGGGAACAGAGCTTAGCAACTGAGTGGGTATTTCAAGAGCTTTGAAGTTAGGTTTGAATCCTTGTCCCATCACTGACCACTTGTGTGACATTGAGGAAGTTCCTCATCTCTCTGAACCTCAGTTTCTCATCTCTAAAGAGACAAAACTACCTATTTTAAAAGCTTATTTGTGAGAATATTAAATCAGAAAGTTTCTATTAAGCCCTAATTCAGTGCCTAGGATATAGGTGGTATAATCATAGTTGTCATAATCATCCTTACCCTAGTAGAAAATCAGCTTCCATAATCATCCTATGCTACCTATATTTTGCTCGAGAATCAATCACTGAATCTTTTAATGAGTATATATTGAGTACCTATATATTTACCCAGCATGCTACTGACTTTGGGGGTGAGTAGAGATGGAGATCCAAAAATCAAATACTACAAGATTCTAATCTGTTTGAATGGACAATAACAGCATAAGAACGTTTACTGAACTGTGCTAAGGAGAGGGGCGCCTGGGTGGCTCAGTCGTTAAGCGTCTGCCTTGGGCTCAGGTCATGGTCCCAGGGTCCTGGGATCGAGTCCTGCATCGGGCTCCCTGCTCAGCGGGGAGCCTGCTTCCCCCTCTCCCACTCCCCCTGCTCGTGTTCCCTCTCTCACTGTCTCTCTCTCTCTCTCTGTCAAATAAATAAAAAATAAAATAAATAAATTTTAAAAAATCTTCAAAAAAAAGGTAAAGGAGATTTGCTGAAACCAAAGTGAGGTGCAATGTAACATGACAACGAGAAGCCCCTATTCTCAGGGCCTTGCTGATGCTGTCCACAGACTGACCCCCTGTTACCCTGTGGCCGCAGGGGCCCCAGCCCTCTGCAGGTGGCTAACCCTTCCCGACCCCCACTCCTGCACTTGGAAGAGCCCCGTGCTTGGCTTAGTGCTCTCCTGTCATCACCTTGAAATTCTTCATACTGTTCTAACAGGCTCTGCTTTTGCATTTTGTGCTGGGCCCCCACAAATTATGGAGCCAGTCCTGCGTATAGGAATTTGAGGGGTTATGCTGAGTACATTTTCTGTCTCCAGAGCCTGACACATCATGTGCTCATAAATATTTCTGAAATGAATGAATTCACTTCCACAGTCATCTGGGTGACAAATGCTCATACCTCTGCTTTTACCTATAGTTTTAGACTTGAAACTTATAAAGTTAGGTACATCTATGCCTTAGACTTAGAATTTTGTGAAATAGGACATTTACCATTTTCTACAAAATCTCTATTCAGGGGAAGCAAAGAGAGAAGCCAGCAGCTGGGTGACTTCTCCACCTCAGTTTCTAACACCTCAGTTCTTTCTATACACACGGTTATGACCTAGATCCCCTCACATTCAACACACACACACACACGCACGCACACACGCACACACACACATTCATGTGCACACACATACCTCTTCCTGAGCTTGTTTTGGGACCGGCTGGACCTCTGAAGTAAACAAATTCATAGCATATATTTAAAAAGCAGTTCCAGGGGCGCCTGGGTGGCTCAGTCAGTTAAGCATCTGTCTTTGGCTCAGGTCATGATCCCAGGGTCCTGGGATCGAGTCCCATGTCGGGCTCCCTGCTCAGCGGGAGTCTGCTTCTCCCTCTCCCTCTGCCCCTCCTCCCTGCTCTCTCACTCTTTCTGTAAGATAAATAAAATCTTTTAAAAAATAAAATAAAAAGCAATTCAAGTATAATTTCTGAAATCTGTTGGAGTAACAGTAGACAAGTCAAAGAAACATTGAAGAACACATTCTGACGTACATTTTTTTGTGGTGGTAAAATATACATAACATAAAATTTACCATTTTAACCATTTTAAAGTTACAGCTTCGTAGCATTAAGTACACTCATGCTGTTATGCTCCCAGCACCACCATCGGTCTCCAGGCCTTCCCATCACCCCCAACTCAACATCCAACAATAAGCTCCCATTTCCCACTGTCCCCAGCCCCTGGTAACCACTCTCTATTTTCTGTCTCTATGAACTTGACCATTCTGAGCACCTCACATAAGCAGAATTGTGCAATATTTATTCCTTTGTATCTGTCTTGTTTTACCTAGTGTAATGTCTTCAAAGTTTACCCACGCCATAGCCTGTGTGAGAACTTTGTTCTTCTTAAAGGCCGAATAATATTCCTCTAGGAGTACATGCCACGTTTTGTTTATTCATTACTCTGTCAATGGACATTTCGGTTGTTTCAGATATATATTTTTTTTAATTTTGTTTTATTATGTTATGTTAATCACCATACAGTACATTGTTAGTTTTTGGTGTAGTGTTCCATGATTCATTGTTTGCATATAACACCTAGTGCTCCATTCAATACGTGCCCTCTTTAACACCCATCACCAGGCTAACCCATCCCCCTGTACCTCTGAAACAAATAATACATTATATGTTTAAAAAAAAGAGAGAGAAGATAGTAGGAAGGGAAAAATGAAGGGGGGGAATCAGATATATTTTTAAAAGAAATATCTATATCTATATCTATATCTATATCTATATCTATATCTATATC